TTTTGTGGAAGAATCCGAAAGATATTTTACACTTTTTTAGAAGATCCATTTCTCATTCTGAAAATGATATTTATTTCCGGTTATGTTCATCCTTGCGAAAGGTCGTTTTTTCATTGATTGCAAAGTACATTTGAAAATAAAATCACTTTTTTAAGCAGCAATTTTTCAGCTGTTCACGGACTATCTCTCGAAACGTCACGTAAATCACTCTTTCACAATATAAGCGACTGACTTAAACAGAAATTTTCATTATTAGCAAGTTGTCTTGTTTGAAATCGTGCATTTTATTTCAACGCGCTAAACCTTATTTTATTTATTTATCTATTCGTACACGTATTTCTGTTCAATTTAAACACCGTGCAATGCAAATTTTTACCAAAACCCTCACTGGGTATGTATGAAAAGTTTTTTTTACATCCGTCTTTAAGTGTCAGAGATTAAAAACCTGGCATATTATGATGATGAGTGGGTTCTAAAAACCAGCAAAAGTCCAGTCAAAATGCGTGAAAAGTAAAGTAAACATTCAAGTCAAATAAGATCAAATTACATAATGATCTTTTTACTATTTTTATAACAAAGCTCTGCAGAAACTTATTAAATAATTCGCTACATGACGCAATAATCAATATTCACCAGACAGTAATAGAACAGGATTGTGAACAACTCTTCCCCTGAGTTCTGACCATTATGATGTCGAACGTGTCCGATAAGTAGTAAACCATTTTTTTCATATTTTTAGTAAAACAATCACACTCGAAGTTGAACTAAGTGACACTATCGAGAGTGTCAAAGCAAAAATCCAAGATAAAGAAGGTATACCGCCTGATCAACAACGCCTCATTTTCGCTGGAAACAATTAGACGATGGCCGCACATTATCAGACTACAATATACAAAAAGAGTCAACATCGCATTTAGTCTTACGTCTTCGTGGCGGTGCTTGATTGTTCGTCCACAAGTGAAGAAACAGTAACAAAAATCCTTATTTAATCGCATCTGTTTTTTGTCCGTGTCATAAAGTTTGTTTCAATTTTTTTTGTATTTTAAAAAAGAGATTTTGTCGTGAAGTATACGGTTGTGGCTTTTTTTTAATATTGTTTATCCTGCAGAAGATAACATGAAAAGAAAATAAACGTTTTATACTGTGAAAACTGAAGTGATTTGCGTGTTCGAAAATGTGTCTCATTGTCTGTTCGGGAAGAAACTATTTGAATTTAAGCATACTGAAGTTTGCTGGTGTTCTGAAGTGACTGAAAATGCATTAATACTATAACAAAATGTTATCGCTTAGTAAATTCAGACCAAAGCTTAGCTATTCAACATTCATATTCATTAGAGACAGGAGTAGCCAGGTTTATCTAATCATTTTGAAATATAGAAAGTGTCTTTTTTTTTGCGCGTTTGTTTTCTGTGCCTGGTACTTGTTGTATTTGGTTTCTTGCAACACATCTCTCACTTCTTTAGTTCGTGGCCTTACCTTATCAAACAGCCGCTTTCGTACTGAATATATCAAGATATACTTATCCTGTTCATATTTCGCTGTACGGCACAATAAACCCCAACAAGAAAGACTTGTACACAATATAACGAAGACTTGCTTCTTAGCACTGATGTCGCACACGATAAATTTGAAACTATTGCACGCATTTTCTAACGAAATTATAACACTATATTTGTGTTTTTTAACTAAAACCATACGTTCATATGCAGTTCCTGTATTCCTGTAAAAGGTTCTGGTAGATCGATAGTTTCAAAACCACTTTGTGCTGGAACTTGTGGAAGTTTTCCGTTCAGAAATTGCTGACTGGGATTACCATATTCAGCTAGCACCGTTGACAAATTATAAGGAGGAATCAGTATTGAATTTTCATCACCAATAAATTTTGCTGTCCAATATAAATTCATCTTATCGATCCTATCAAGACGATCAGCGACAACGCGACACAAGATATTAAATAACCCTGGATCCGCGCCTAGCCCCAAAATGGCTATTATTTCAGCCTTTTCCCATTGATCATGCTCAGCCTTTTGTTGGACAGTGTAGATACCCATGCCTCCGTACTCCAAGTAATTCCGTTTTGCTTCGAAGCATGCATGAAATATATTCATTTGAAGTCCTACAAAAGTGGGCACAGCGTTAATATAGACGTCGCATTTAACAAGTAATGACAGGATGATTTGTCTATCGGTAACATCGATTACATGGATTTCAATAGGCGAATCGGTTAATGATTGACGGAGAATATCCAGACGTTCATTATTCGAATCGGCAATTATGAGTTTTTCAATTGAATGTGAGTAGGTCGCCAGTAAATCTCGAGC